AAGATGCTATCTCTCGGGAAAGAAATGTGGTGGGTGTCATAGTTTGTGCTGTTTGTAGTAGGGGGGCAACTTTATAGAGCTGCACTTGATTTTCAGTTCGTGGGGTGCTATCTATGTTTTATTTGCATGTTCTCTCTGTGTTTTCATAGCTTTTTTTCCCACAGTCCAAAAACATTCCATTAGGTTATTTAGCTTCTGGGAAAAAAAGGGACCTTGTGTGAGTGTGTTCTTGTTTGTGTTTGTTTCTGTCTGTGTCCCCCAATGGACTGGAGTCCCATCCAGGATGTATCCTGCCTTGCACCCGTTGTAAGCCTTGGCTCCCCCACGACCCTGAATTAGATAAAACTGTTAGAAATTTATCGTGTTTATTTATTTGCTTTGCATGAAATAGTACAACGATGGTCTTTTAAGGCAGGATGTTACTCATTGTAACTTTGTATGCAGGGCTCTAAAATCAAAATGTTTTTGAATTGTCTATTTACTGTATTTAAAAACGGATACAATGAGAAACTGCTTAGATTAGATCTTCATTTTTTAAAAAATATTGACACAGCTACAAAGTATTATGACATGCTAGTTAAAAGCCATTTTTAAGAAAATGTAATTTTTAAGCCTAAATTCGCAACTAAATTGCAGTTTTTGGAGACATTTCTAATTTTAGGGCTCAGACAAATGCACAAAAAATGCTGGTATTCACATGAAGTTGAGCCGTTATCTCATATTCAGTAATTTAGTACCTAAACTGTCCAGACTGTGATACTAACGGACATGTTCCATGTACCTGTACATAGTCATGTGATTACTGGAAACATAAGGCAATATATCTTGGGAACTGAAATAGCAAAAACAGTACTTTTAATGGCACATACCCACTCAAATGCAGCATTAACAGTATGGTGGGTTTCATTGTTTCATTGTTAGTGCTATTTGTTGGGGGGCAAAGAGAGCTAATTCTTAATTTCCAGTTGAGTAATATCACCTTGTGAAACAGTTCCTTTGAATAAACAGTTGTGAAAATTTACCATCCCAGTAATCAAAACATACCACCCATTAGGCATACTGTGATCTCACATGTGGGTGGAAAATATGGTTAATAACTGTGTAAAAGACTTTGTTTTAAAATTTGTAACTGTTATTGCAATGGCAGATATACAGTAATTATGATTCTACTGTTTATTGTCTAATATTTCGAGTCATACACATACTGTACTGTATGTTGTACAGGTGATGCAGTTGTTGGGTGTGTACAGTATTACTATACAGGTTCAGTCAGATTGAAAGAAGTTTGAATCTGCTGTGTTGATGTGGGTGGTTTTATACTAAATAGAATACATATTTTTATTAATTAATTACAGACTTTTTCTTACGTATTATGAAATCACATTGTTAGACTATATACCTGTACTGTTCTCATACAAACACAATTGCTACTGTTCCTAAACCTTTTCAGCATTTTCATTTTCAATGAAATATCTCAAGCACTTAGCTTAGTATAGTGTAATCCATATGCATTTAATCATATTAGTTATTGACAAATGAAAACCAGGTGGTGTATTTGTTGTATAATTACAACTTGTACGTTGACTGTGATCGAACTTAGACCAATCGATGGCTGAGCTACAGTATATAAGAACTCCAAGCACTGTGTTTTCCATTACACTATAAAGAATCTTAGAAACACACTTAAAACACCACATTGTAAATCGAAAACATCTTGTCATAATTATTGTGGCATTGATGTGACGAAAGTGTGGTTTCCATAAAAAACATTTATATAATGCAGACCTGTGCAGTATGAGCTCCTACGCAACTTACAGTACACGACAATAAGTCATTCTAGTCACAACTAACTTCTTTTGTGTTTTTATGTGCCCAGTGGTTCTCAAACTTTTTGAACCAAGTCCCACCCCTGATCAAACCAAAGCATTCAAGTACCACCTACAAGTCATCTTCTCATAGGAACCCCAGAAAATCTCAATGAGCAACATGAGCACACGTGCACACACACTCTCACACACATATAATAAATATAATAATAAACTTTATTTGATATAGCGCCTTTAAACGTGGCTTCTCAAAGCGCTTTATGGAAAAAAAAACAACAATAATTTAAAATAAACAATAAAAAAGCACCATTTCAGTGAGAGGGGTGAGCCTGTTTAGTCAAGCAAAGCACATGTGAATTCATTTTTCGAGCCTTGATACAATTCACAACAGAGTCTAACAGATTTTAAATCATCAGGCATTTTCTTGACGGCAAAGGTCTCATGGTGGATGTTGCAATGCGTCCATTCACTTCTGGAGCAACCTCTCTAATTTGTGCAACTACACTGCTGTGTCGGCTTGTCATCGCTCTAGCACCGTCTGTACAAACTCCTACACATTTTATCCAGCCGATGCCATTTTCTTCAATAAATTCATTCAGAAACTGAAATATGTGCTTTCCTGTAGTTCCTGTTGGCAACGGCTTACAGAACAGAAAGTCCTCATGCCTTCAAATGTATCTAACGTAAATGAGCAAATTGGCCAAATCGACGACATGTACAGACTCATCTAATTGCAGTGATAAACATCTGCTCATCTTAACATGCTCTATCAGCGTACTTTTGATATCATCCGCTATATCAATAATTCTATGAGTGGCTGTGTCTTTCGGAGGGGGCAGCAGGTCGAGCTGCTTAGCAGCTTTTTCTCCACACATAATACGTGTCAGCTCTTTTGCCAATGGTAAATAAGATTCTTCAAAAATAGTGTGGGGCTTACCTGCTTTAGCAATCCGCAAGCTTGCATTTTCCCCATTTACGTTTCAGGAGTCTGTCTCAGAAGTTAAAAGAAGTTATTTCATGCGCATGGGAGCGAAACAAAGAGACGCTCTGTGTATTTTTCTCAAATTAACCTAGAACAGTTCTTAAATATTTTTTTTATTATCTATCACACTTTTCTGTGCTCACAAGATTGCCAGCATTCATAGTATGCATTTCTATGCTTTCCTGTGCTTACAACATTGGCATTGGTCCAAAATCACGCATATTCTCTACCTTCCTATTTGCTGGAGATAACTTTTTTTAAATACAATTGGTCGCTTTCATTGGTAGCACGCATTTCTATGCTTTCCTGTGCTTACAAGATTGGCGGTGTTCCAAAATCATGAACATTCTCCTACCTCCCTGTTTGCTGGAGTAACCTTTTTTAAATACAATTGGTTACTTACATTCGTAGCATACATTCCTATAGAATGGAATAGAATTACATGGTAGTTCTTGTGTCCAATCAAGTATTAGCACGCGCTGTATCGTATGTACGTGGGCTGCGTATTCGACACGTATTAAAATAGGAAATATGAAAACCACAGTTTGAGAACCACTGCTTTTAGCAATCAAACATTTAAATATTTTTTTGAATTATATTACCATATATATATACAATTACTAATACTTCAGTAATAATGTAAGAAATGAAAAAATGAACATTTCTGTACAGTATGATTAGCACAGGAATACGCTTTAATTTTAATTTAAAATTCTGATGCCTGTGTGACAGGTAAGTGAGTCACCTGACAGTTTTGCAGAGATGTACAGCAGATTATTTGAAAAACTAAAAAAAGTGTCGGGCATACTGTGGCAGTTGTTGTGATACACTGTGTTACATCTCAAGCATTCTGTGTGGCTGCATCTGTAGATTACACTGATGTATAGTATCTCCAGCCTCGGTTACAGAACCTTGGTTACAAAAATAACTAATCTGGCTGTATTAAAATTAATAAGTCCACTCTTCAAACAGTGTTCAGCTGAACCATATTTGAGTTTGGATACCGTATGGTAGAGAAAAGTCAATTGCAAGTTAGACATTTAGTTTTCCAGATTTTAAGATTATTCTCTCTGTAAATCAGTTTTACATTTTTGTGCCAAGCTGTTTTGGCATAAGATAAACACAGAGGTAAATGGCTAAAGAGAAATTTAAGTGTAAGTTTACATCAATCATGAAGAGCAGTGATATTCTTCAAATATTTGTTTGTTGCTTTTAAAAAAGCAGAATTTAGCTTGTCTTGAAAGGGGTAAAATTAGCCTGATTAAGAAAACGTTAAAAAATAACTGTTTTGGTATACTTGTAGTTCAGTAGTAATTCACAGTAATAGCCCAGTTTTTGTATATGGATATTTGAGTATGTACTCAAATTGTAAATTGTAAGTCAGGCATGATATTTTATTTACAACTTCTATCATTTTAATATTTTTTTACTTTACTTTCCACATTAAGCAACAATTAAAGTTTGATGATAAAATGATATGGTGTACAAATTTAGGTAATGCTTAATTCACATTTTAGATAAAGGTTTACAATGTATTCAACATCCTAGCATTGCTTGAGTTTCCAGATTTAAACAGTTTTCAGGATGAGCTTTCTGAAAAAATACCTCTCAGAACAAATCTACATTAACAAATACAGTATCATCGTTATTTGGTTAAGGTAATAGTACATAATAGGTTACTTTTAACTTAAAGGAGAGACAAAGGTCATATATGAAGACAAAATTCAGAGCATCGCTTGATATTGTCTTCACCATACACCATAAGTGAAAAAAAATGTGTTCAATTGTGTAAAATTCTCATTCATATTTTAATATTTATTTTAAAAATGTCTTATTCATTTAGATTAAACTGGTAGACTTCCTAAGAGGTTTACATTTGATGCACTGTAAGCATAAAATGAATATATTATTCAACATTGTGCTTCAAGTTGTGTTATAATGGATAGCAGTAAGATGGGTATTTTTAAATGAAAACCACTGATTAGTACTTCAGTTTGCTTACAATATCTATTATCTATTCTGATAGTAAAACTGACAATTTGGTAAAAAATCTTGAAACATTATATTTCCCAGTAATATTTTAATGTATTCATTGATACACTAAATAGGTAATTATTTAATCATTTGTCATTCCTTTACAGACTGCATTTTATGTTCTGTTAATAACCCAAAAATTATCATGAATTTTCCAGGCTGATTCTTCTGAGAGGCTGCGACAGTATGGCTTATCACAGTTATATAGCCATCCAGTGTTAATAACTAGAACAAGGTCTTGCCCTCTTGTTGTTCCACCAAAACCTCCACTGATCCCTCGATGGAAACTTATTCGACAGAAAAAACAAACGCTTCCAACTGATGAACCTAAAGGTAACTTTCATAATTAACTTTTTTATCTGATCAAGGCTCCAAAGCCAATGATAAGAAATACTTTAAACTGCCCTGTACAATTTATCAGTAATACACCATTAGAGCTTTCTACAGTCTTGAAATTATTATACTGCCACCATTACTGCATTAAATTTTTTAATGTGTGAAATTACTGAATAATAAAAGATAAAGCTCACTATAATCTTCTTATGTATCTAAACATATTTTAAATGTGTCATTTTTAAAATGACTTGTTTAGAGATTAAATATGAATGTTTATCTTTCTTATATGCCAACATACTGTACTGTGTGGGACTGAATTGTAATCCATAAAAAAAAGTTTAAATACACTGAAATTGTAATGAAACTTGTTTTGCTTATAAGCCTATTTTTAAAGATGTCTGCGCCGTGTACTTCTTATTAACAGAACCAGCAGCTGTAAAACCTGAAAAGTTCATTGAGATTGCAGGCCCATTTCTGAACTATCGACTAAATTCTGCCCATATGTCTTCAGAGCAGTAAGTATAAATTCTTAAAGACTCCAAAACAGAACAAAAATAATACTAATCTAAGCACAGCTTTTTAAATTAAAAATGTTATTTTATTAGCACTTTTGGCATGGAGAAAAAACTATCTGAAGGTACTCTGTCTCAGAGCAATGAAAGGCAATTGATATAAGTTGGTTCACAAAGACAATAAATCTCCAGCACTAAAATCAATAAACCCATAGTACAAAAAGCTTTCATTCATGGTTGTTGTCAGGTTAGATTTTTATTCACATTTTTGCATTTGTTGCCTTATATATCTGTCTCGCATTCATGTAATTTGTTTTATTTGTTCTGAATAATTCTGCAGCTCATTTTTTTTCTTAAACAGTTTAATACTATATATACTGTATTTACAACAAAACAGTGTTTGTAGAAAAATGAGAAATCACATAGACGACTCCATATTGCACTAATGTGTAGTTTGTTTGCTGTATCTGGAAACAGATAACTCTTCTGCAGTGTTTTTCTGGAAAACTGATTTTTTTTCCTGCTGTGATAAGTTTCTGTTTATTTTCTGTACACGTTTAATGTTTTTTTTCTTAGACATATTGCTTAATGTCAAAATTAATTAATTTTGTCATTGTTAAAATGTAGAGGTGTGCAACAAATATCTGTTCGAAAGACCCCATGTAGCTCAAGTCTGACATCCTTCACTGAAACTGAAGAAAATGATCAGAAGGACATTGAGGACACTGGGAATGGAAAGCACAGTATCAAATCGTTGGATGCAATAGATACTGCAGAGGTAAGAGAACAAAATCTACGTGACCCAATTTACACAGCCTTTCTGGAAAAAAAAAACTATCTGAAAATTGCAACTTACTACTTTCCCTCCAGAGAACTGAACTAGATTTACTACCAAATCAGTCACTGTTAAGAGAATCTTTCTGTGACAGTTATAACAAGGGGAATATTAAAAACCATGCCATATTGCTCTGCTTATTACTCTCATGCAGTTTCTTAAGTTTCTGTTAACATTATTCATTTTCTAAACATCCTGACAATGATGTGTTTTAACATCATATTTGTTTAATTGTTTTTCCCAAAAAAGTACAATGAAATGATTACTTGTTTTATATTCTGTTTTTTAGCCATAAAATTGACTTACAGTATACTTATACTCTGTACTTATTTGTTTCATCTGAATACATGTTTAGATAAAATTTTGAGAGGACTACTGAAAGTCAGTAATAGAATGCTGGCATCGTTAACTTCATAAAGAAAAAGCCCGCGTTACCATGCGTGAGAACTTATTATTTGTGTACACTGTGGTTCCATGATATTTTTAGGTGAGGACTATTTATTAATTTAGGGTTCTATTTTAAAAATAGAGGTAATTTTTTTTAATCAAAGTACTAGATAAATATATTTATCAATTTATTCTATGAAGTATCAATCAATTGTCTTACCCGTTACATGCCATCTTTTCACCATTAGAGTGTTTTAAAAAAAAACTTGTCAAAGTGTCAAAGAGACATATTGCAAAGTTGTCAAAGGCAAATATGAAACTCAAACACTTTTCCTGAACTTTGAACCTTAGTGCAGTGAAATAATTAGAGAGAGATGCATTTCACTTTTGACTTCATGAGTGCCGCATTAAATGTCACTCTGATTTTCTGTGATCATATGGGAGCTTTCTAATTATGGATTTCTTAACCTGTTCCTAGAAAAAGACAGCACCATACAAGAAGTCAAGGTGAAGAAATCAGTAAAATATTGCAGTAGATCTATATATGGAAAGGTTTTGTAAATCTAGGTCAAATATATTGGAACTCAGCAATGTTTGTTTCTTAAGGACAAAAGGTTTAACCCTTGTTTTCATTACTACACATGGAGGAGACAACTATGAACTTATCCTTGCAAATAGCATTTTTCTTCAGCATTTCTGCCAGCAGCCATATCACCCTGCAACTCACAACTGGCAACCCACTGAAGCTAAGCAGGTGTGAGCCTGGTCAGTACCTGGATGGGAGACGACCTGGGAAAAACTAAGGTTGTTGCTGGAAGAGGTGTTAGTGGGGCCAGCAGGGGGCGCTCACCCTGTGGTTCATGTGGGTCCTAATGCCCCAGTAAAGTGACGGGGACACTATACTGTAGAAACAGGTGCCGTCCTTCGGATGAGATGTAAAACCGGACTCTCTGTGGTCATTAAAAATCCCAATGTGTTTCTCGAAAAGAGTAGGGGTGTAACCCTGGTGTCCTGGCCAAATGTCCCATTGGCCCTTACCAATCATGGCCTCCTAATAATCCCCCTTTATGTATTGGCTTCATTACTCTGCTCTCCTCCCCACTAACAGCTGAGCTGGATGCTGGAGATTGGTGGTGGTGGAGGGGAGTCCCCATTACCTGTAAATTGCTTTGAGTGGAGTGTCCAGAAAAGCGCTATATAAGTGTATTATTATTAAACTGATGTAGAAATGTAAATCATCAAAGCACAATCTTCAGTGATGCCTATAAGGAAAGTTTCTTAATTATTTCCTTCAACGAACATTTTTGGCTGCTTTTCCACAATCACCACACCACTACAGTCACCAAGGTTATGTAGTTATTTTCTATAAGGTGTAGTCCACACTTCTGTGGACAGTGTGTGAAGAATTATGTACTTAATTCTTTCTTAACACTAACACCATTGTTTATTATGCTGGTTATGCTCAGGCAAGATTAGATGAAGTTGTCACAGTAGCAATACTGAGTATGTTTGCCCGCTGCAGTATTGACTGCATTGTATCAGTGCCTGATTGACTGAATCAGTGTTTGTATCTGACTTGGTAATTGATGCTCTGCTTGAAGCTGTGCTCCTGCTCAGGCTTTGTTTGTCTTTGAAAAGCACTAGCCTGCTGTAATTAACATCCCAAAAATTCATGATTGGATGTAAATATTGCTTTATCCAAAACAAGCAAATCAGTACATTGACACTGATTGTAGCCAATAGTTCACTGAAGTTGTCATTCTACAGTATGTGGCTGGAAGAGGTTTGTTGAAAAAAACATAGCTTCCTACTTCACATAGACATCTCTGGCATTAATCCTACAGTGTCCATAGAGTGTTTTGGTGTTAACTTTAACTTTGGAGGCAATTGCAAAAATCTGTTGTCATTATGAAATGGTCCTGGGAAGGTGTAGTAACACTTGGTTGACTTGGTTGAGCAATTTGTAACAAGTCGAATATGATCCAAGTTGCTTGTCACTATTGTGTGATATCCCAATATGCCATTTTAGAAATTAAAAGGTGTTGCATGCTTCTAAGTACAGTATCAAAGGGTTTGATTGCTTTCAGAAGCCACAGTATTTCATCTGGTCAGTTTAGATGACTGTTTACCTATTTAAGCACATCATAGAACTTTAATAAAAAAAAGATAAGGTTAACCTTTTAAGTTAGCTGATGAGTACGCAATTAAACTTGAACAAACAGGTCCATTTCTCTAATGGTGAAAGGTTTAAAGAATGAGGAAAAATACCATTTTTGAAGAAGTCTCAGCAGTTGAATTAGTTTTTAGTTTAGCATTAGTTTTCTCATCTTTCTTTTTACTTTTCAGAATATAATTAGCCTCTACTTGTTCATTTGCAACTCACACACTACCTACTTTAACCTTTTCATAATTGTACATATTGTACTGTATAACTGAATCCATGATCTTTAAAACTGCCATTTCCCAATTTGAATTATTCATGCAATTTCTACCATATTTATTGAAAATAAATGTGCAGCAATATTGTCTTACATCATGTGTACAGTATGTGTACCTGTATCATTTCTGTTTTTGGAAAATATATGATACTGTAAGAGTGGGGCAGATGGCAAAAGGATCCTATGCAGGATTCAAGACTCTGAGAAAGACACTAAGCTGAATCGCTAGACAAAAACGAAAACCAGGAGGCAGGTGAGTAGGTCGGAACACAGAGAGTCAACGAGGAAGCAACAATCCAAAACACAAGGCGAAATCGAAAATGAGAAGCAGGCAAGGAGATCAAATACCAGAGAAAAGTAAGAGATAAACGCTCACTAGGAAGCTCAAAAAGAATCCGCAATAGTGAGCGGGGAAGTGAGGAAAAAGGAGAACTAAAATAGAGACGGGAGAGAAAGGTGATTGGCGTTTACTTGCGGCGTGAGCTTGTTTTACAGGGTGTGCGCGTGGGAATGCAAGAAGTAACAGAGTGGAATGCGTAACAGATACACTCTTTAGAACAGTTTTTCTTTACCTTTTCGGAAATGTTTTCGGGTCAGTATAAATACGGCCTTA